AGACAAGTTTAATAGTTTATAAATCATGTATTTGATGTTGGAATAAGTTGAACATGTTGAGTTATTTTTCACTTATAAGATATATGAGAATAAGTTCATGATTTTAAAGACATGATTTATATGAGTATTGATTGAGTTTTAGTTGAATGTGTTAAGAAGACAATTCTATGAATTGTTTCAAGAATAGTATATTGATATTATAATATGGTTTTGATGAGTTTTAAGTTACCATTTTTATTTATATGTAAGTTTAAGATAAGGTTTGAATCATGAATTTGTGTATGTGGAATTTAGTTATTTTCACTTTCAAGTTATTTAAATGGTATATAAGTTTATACTAACATCTAAATTTCAAATTCATGATTCATGTGGTTTAAGTTTGGTATTAAGTAAAAGTTTAAGAATTTAAGATGTTCAATGAATTAATGTTCATTTGAGCTATAGCCGAAATTATCTTTAAGATTCGGATAAGTTATCAATTAAAGTTAAGAATCCAAAAGTACTATTGATAATACTATGAGCATAGTACTTAGTAAATTTGTTTATATTTTTATGTAGTTGCAGATACAGCTACCAGTACAGCACTTTTAGTTTTCAAAAGTTTTCAAGAAAGAAAGGTGGGGACCCAGACTGGGTATTACATTGAGTATAATAGCTATTATCATGTTCGAGGTATGTATAAAGTTAAGTAAAGTATTAAGCTCGCTCAGTCAAGACTGGGTTCTGTGGGAGGCGACCCCCAGAATGTGATCACATGAGAACCGGCCCAAGTTACCGGTAGTTGCAAAGTTCAAGTTAAAGTTACCGGTCAGATACCGGAAGATTAAGCTCAGATATATATACCAAAGATCATGATATTGATATTATTATTAATGTTTACTTTAGTATGGGTTTTTACGGAGTACAGTGGATTAGTACTCACGCCCCACTATTATCATTTTTCAGGAAATAAAGACGGCGCGCAGGTGTGAGGAGCTGTGGTGGTCGTGGATGTGAATAAGTTTTTATTGAGAATTTTCAATAAGGTTTCGGTTTGTAAACCACGCTTGTAAGATATTTCGCTACGTTTCTTTAAGATTTGAACAAGTGTGATTTTAAAGGTTGATTTATCAAGTTGATTGTATGAACTGTTAAGTTTTTATATTTGTTCAATGTTTAAAATCTATTTTATTTATGTCTAACTTAGTTGTTAGATAAATTTTAAGTAAATAGATTTTTAAAGTAGATAAGTTAGTAGCATCCCGAGCTAAGAAGGTTTCGAAAAATTTATAAGTATTTTTGAAATAAGTTGCGAAAAATTTACTCTGATAAGCGGGGTGTTACATTTGTCCTTTGCTAAGGACCACGTCATCTGTAAGACCTTGGCAGTGTGCTCTGGCCGGTGATGGATATCCTGTCCAAGCACTAGGTGCGTGCTGTGACGGTTGAGCCTTCTGCTGTTTGGGCACCCCATTTATGTTCGCCGAAAGTCATAGGAGCAGCAGTCTATTGTTATAGGTGAGCACATGAGAGTTACTTTGGTTAGGGGATGGGATATTTATTGATTATGTTCATACTACGACCATGTCGTTTAATTCTTCTTATATTATTGTTCATCTGCATAGTTGTGAGCACTACAGTTCATCGTGCTCACTCTCACCTACTCTTCATGGATGCAGGTTAAGCAGGTGTTGGCTGACGAGACAGAGACGAGTGGTGTTGGTCTTTGACTGACCTCATTTAGTTTATTCCGCATGCTAGACTATTTATGTTTATTTATGCATTTACGACTTTGGATTTATGATTTATGACCTTGGAATCTTTGGAACTTTGGATTGGGAGATGTTCCCTTATGAATAATTTGGATGACCCTGGGATTTATGAAACTGTTGGATTTATGATTTATGATTGATGCAAGTATGAATTACGTTATTTATGTGATTTAGTTAGAGTAACGCCCTTGATTTATGAAAAGGTTTTGAAAAAAAAAAAATTAAGTCGACTTTTTGAAAAGTGTTTGACTTTTGTCAAATAAAAGTTGGGCGTTACAGTAAAAGTTAAGGTAGGTAATTTTGAAAATTTTATGCTTCGTATTGGTTAACATAAGAAAACCAATCAAAAAATACTCTTTAAAAATATCTAATAAAAATTCAATTTACCATTAATATGTAAATTTGTCAAATATTGTGTGCAACAAGAAGACATAGAAATTAATTGAAAGTTAATTAGGTAATAAGATTATTATATGAAATAAAAGAAACATAAATCAGGCGATAAAAATACTACAAACAAAATGATTCAAAAGAGTGGTAAAAAAATTGCTGAAAAAAAAATATTTGTGAAAAACATTTTGAACAAACAAAAAATAAATATAATAATTAAAGTTGATGCGATAAAAATACCAATTTAATAAATATAAATATTTTATTGTAAAAAATATGTGTGGAAATTTTCATTAAAAATAAATAGTGGCATTTTAGTTGCTCCATAAAATGTGGGTAAGTGTGTTCTACAAATTTTACAAGTACTAGATATAACTAGTACAACACCCGTGTATTACACGGGTGCTTGCTAATTTTTTTTTTCTTAAAATCTAAAATTAATGAGAAAAAGTAGTTTGAAAATTTAAATACCTTTTATAAGAATATATATATTATTATATATTTATTATGACATTTTTTATTTGTGCAACTTACTTGTGTTATATTATACTAATTTTTTTAACTTACAATATATAACTACATTACATATAAATATATCAATTGAAAAATAATTTTATTTTTCTAATGAATTTCAATGTATATTATTATTTTTTATTATTATAAAGATAAATATAATATATTTATTTCATATATATACAATATGGATGTCAAATCGAAGATCATCAAAAGATGATTAATTTGATATATTATATATGTAAAACTGATAAGAAATACAAAAGTTATCAACT